ACTACGACTACGACGACGACGACGACGACGACGACTACCACGACGACGACGACGACGACGACGACGACGACGACTACTACTACTACTACTACTACTGCGACTACTACTCTACTTATTATTATGTATATATTTCCAAAAATATAAATAATAAAAGTAATGCTTTTCAGATCATCAATGTTCTCAACATTCATATGCATGTTAACACTCCCTCACACACACATCTATATATATATATATGCACATACATTTTTAGATGTATATGTATAGTTCATTTTAAATAGTATAGTTACTTGTGTTTATATATAAGGATTCGTTTTAATCGACTGCCCGTCGCCAGGCGCTCGTTGGACAAGGTGCTCGAAGAGTTCCGCAGCGCGGCGGCAGAGCAGTGTGGAGGGTTTTGGGGTCTTGGGTTCAGGCCCAGGGTCTTAGGATTTGGGTTTTCGGGTTTAGGGGGGTTTAGGGTTTAGGGGTCTTGAGCCCTCAGCCCTGAGGGTTAGGGTATAGGGGCTTTCGGGTTTAGGGTTAAGGGGTCTTAAGCCCTAAGCCCTGAACTCTAAACCCTAAACCCTAAAGCTGGAGGTTGCGAGCCCAAAGCTCTGAGCCCTCGAGAGCCTTCCAAAGGTGTTATTAGGGCCTTATTCGGCCCTTTTCAGGCAAGCCCAGAACCCCCCAAAATAAGAAGTCGAGCCCCCGCCTAGCTTTTGGTTCCTTCATGCCCTACTAACAGCTTTGGAGGGCTTTCATGGGGCTCTGCAAGGGCTTAAGAGGAGCAGAAAAGGGCTTTTGAAGGCTAGGTCAAGCGCAAAGTCAGTTGGCAAAAGCCTGGGCCAAGACCGTGGGTGTCTTTCCGTGTGCGCAGCTGTTGGAATGCCAAATCTAGTCAATTATTTTCTTGGTTCTTTTGTTGCGCAAACAAAAACAGCGAACACAAAACGAGAAGAGTAAAATGAAAAGTTGGCACGCCGAGGTCAGGGTACCCTGGATTTCTTATTTTCGTTTTGCGCGTTTTTCGTATTTTTTTTGTCGAGCGGCTGTCCGGGGGGCTCAATTTCTTATATAAAGCAATGATTTCTTAAGCAATGCCGTTGCTGTAGTTATTTGGGGCGTGCACACTGCAACTACAAAATCCTTTTGATAACACCCTTGAACATGAACCACCCGAAGAAACCTTCCAACCCCCGAGGGTAATTTCAGAAACGCTCCTCGACGAACGATGCCGGTGTCCACCCTAAAACAAGTGCAAGAAAGCCTAAGAACCATTCCAGGAGCACCTTATGTGAGGCTATTATAGGGGCCTTCATATTAGAATAGGGTTTTGGGTATATTATAACTACAACTAAAAGAAGGAACCCGCCAAAATAGTATAGGTAAGTACTAACACTGTAAATCCAGAAGGCCTGGGAGAACGACTGTCACCCCAGAACGCGTGCGGCCTTGTGGCAGGTTCATCGTTTGGGTTTCGGGTTTCGGGGCAAGCAGATGCAAGTCGCAACAAGTTCCTGACCTTTCCCGGCCGACTCTCCAAGCCCGGAGGCAAAACAAGGGGCCAGCGTGGCGCTGTTTGGAACGGAAAATACGAGCCACACCCAAATGTCAACGAGACTGTGGCGGGGCACGATGATCGACTTTGTAAAATGCGGTGTTCATCGGGAACGCCAACACGTAAGATTTTACGAGTAACTTGGCATCTCCAGCGGACCACGGACTGTCAAAAGAAGCGGATGTTACACGAACATGCACTGTGCACCACACCACAACCGGGGCCACGGAATCGCCGGTTGCACCGAGCTGGCGCGCCTCGCACAGGAACCGAATCCCCATCCTGAATGTCAGGCCCCCATAATGTAGGAACCTAATTAAGACACCCTGTCCCAACCACACCAAAATATAGGGATTCATACACAGAACCCTAATAAAGACCCAGGGTTCCAGAATCAGGCTCCTATATAAGATACCACTCCAGATTACACCCCCATTTCAAAACTCATTTGGCGAGTACGAGTGTGATAGCGCAACCATCACAAACACACCGCCACATCCCAGGCCAACTCGGTCCGGTGCTGAGTGGGACATTAGTTCCAGTCGCTCAGGGTGAGGTTTGGGACAGCGTTTCCGAGACAGGGTTCAGCATCTGGCGATTATGTGCTAGGACTGTTGAAGTTCGGCCCTCGACCAGGGGGTTTCTAAACCCAGTCTGGCTCACACGGCCCTAACCATTTAATTAGAAGGCCACAAGTAAACACTGTTTAGCAGGCAGAAGGCAGTTGGCAGGTTGTGAAACTCTTTCTTGACTGTCGCATCTTTCGTGTAAAGCGCAAGCCAAACCCGGGGAAATCCTGAACACTACTTGTGATCCAGTGACGGACTCACTAGACTATCCAGTGTTTCGCTACAGAGCGCAGCTCTCAACAGTTGAACCCTTCACTCTAAATTTGTTTCGTTATGCTCATGATGCGAGGATCTCAGGCGACCGTCAGGTTTTAAGAGTTCTGCGCCTTGTATCCCGATGCACCAAATCAAGCAGGAACGCATTTTCCCCGACTAGACAAACACTCAAAGCCAAGTCAAAAGGGTGTGCTTGGTTGGCACGTCCCTTCTAGCAGGTTTGTTTGAGCTCCGAAACCTGCAACGTAGGCCATGCAATCTAGACCCCCAACCTTCGACCCTACATCCGACATCCTACCCGTCCCTGTCCTAAACCCCGAACTCCTCTAATCCTATAGAAAATCATATCTCGCACGCCCTGAGAAGCTGGGCCCTGAGCCCCGCATCTCGACCGGCCCTCCTTGTTGAACCTGGCGAGGCTTCAAGCCCAGGAATGAGGCATCCGGTGGCGAAGAGGATGAAGAGGTGCCACTTAAGGCTAAAGGACAACGATGAAGACGGCACTGCCACTACAACAACAACAACAACAACAACAACAACTGCAACAACAGCTGCAACAACAACAACAACAACTACTACTACTGCTACTACTACTACTACTTCTGTTGCTGCTACTACTACTACTACTACTGCTACTACTGCTACTGCTACGGCTACGGCTACGGCTACGGCTACGGCTACGGCTACGGCTACGGCTACTGCCACCGCTACTGCTACTGCTACTGCTACTGCTACTAAGCCCCTGGGCTCCAGCTTGAGAGTTTCTTGATGATGTGTGAACCTGGGGCCGATTCTAGGAAAGCGTACGATCCTCTAGAAGGTCTCGGGTCGCCAAGGAAACCTGTCTGTAGGGCGCATGATGGAGCACGAGTCCTAGGGTGCTACCATCACCCCACTGCGTGCAAGCGTCCTGTTCAATTCCTTCTCCTTGCCCTGGCCTCCTACCTGGCGCTACCCAGCCTGGCTCGAGACTCTGTGTACACGCGGCAGTGCGAGCTCACGAGTTGCCTCGATTACTGGCCGAGCCCTCAGCCAAATTTTGCACAGCGCCGCCGGGATAGTCGGATCTTGCCAGTGTGCCAGGCAGTGTACTTAGCAGCACACAACCCTGTGAGCAGGCACCAGGCTCGAGCCCTGCAAGGAAGCTTTGGTAGGGAGCAGACATGCCGCCCAGCCGTCGAGGCTCTGTGCCTAAGGTTAAATCGGTGGCAAAGTCGGGCAGGGACCCCAAGGCGAAGGCCAAGGGCACGGTGGACTCAGACTCATCTACCAGCCCGAGCACGCGCCGGAGGATCTGGGAGGACACAAGCAGCGAGCCGGGAGACACGGCGATGGCTTCGGGGTCGGCCGGGCCGCCCAGGGGGCCGCCGCCTCCTACCCCGGTTAAGCCACCGCCGCCAACGCCAGTCAGCTCTGGCATGCGAGCATCTACCCGGAGCAGATCCCCGCCAGCAGGACCGCCGCCTCCCACGTCTGCAATGCCCGAGGCCACGGTCATGGAAGGGACGACCCCCACCTTGGGTCATCCAGCCGCTCCTGCCAATCCGACGACCACAGCATCTCCTGGCCCAGTCTATGCCACCCCGATGGAAGCCTATCAGGCCAGTCTGGCTTTTGCGGCGGCAGCTAAGGCACCTGGTGCAGACTCAGGTGACCCGCCCGTACCTGTCATGCCGAGGCCGCCACCGATGGCGAGAGCTCCTGGGAGTGGGCCCAAGGCACCAGCGACGGGACCGACAAGTGGGACGAGACCGCCAGTGGTGGTGGCCAAGGCCAAGAGTACGGGCACAATACCCGGCTGGGGACAGGGATGGAAGATCACGATCTGTATTGAGCCTCATGCGCAGCCTCCTCCGGACAGCGGACAGCTGAGAGCCTGTACAGCACCGGCGCCGCACCAGGCAACCGCCAAGCCCTTCCAGTGCTTGAGCAACATCCTGCAGAGGCAAATCAATGCTGCTGCGGACTCTTCCACCAAGCTACCTTCCCTGGAGCAGCAAGAAAGAGCTTGCAGTTCTTATGGTGGCGAGTAATACCAGCGAGACCCGTCAGTGCAGAGCTGCAAGCGCTGCACCCTCTGTCTGCTCAGGTCTGTGGCATGGTGCTACCCATGGATCTACTGGCAGGCCACTACCGAGCCACCAGATGGTCACCTCTATCATTGCTATCCATTAGGAAGGACCTCAGCTGCCCCATCTCTACAAGATGCAGCCTCAGACTCGCCGGGTGCCTTAATCAGTCCAGGCCCCCTATCTGGGTCCATTCTAAATCCTCTCAGGTCCACACCGAGCTCCCACCAGCTCGGAGGGGCAGCCGCAGAGCTGCATGGGGGCGGACGACCTCCTGCAACTCCTCCGCCGTGAGCCCAGACGAGCGTAGGATCTGTTCACCTGCAGCCAGCAACCTTTTCGGGTCACGGCTGGTACAGACGTGACAGTCATTGGTGGTGCGCATAGCAAGATTCATGGATACCATGCCGTCATTCTGAAGAGCAAGGATCCGCATGCCTCCACATTCAACATACGTGTGTTGGAAGGCTCGGCCGAGGAACGGCGGAAGGTGTACACGATAGATCGTGCGCATGTTGTCTACAGCGCTCCTCAGGGACACCCTTTTGGTTTCTCACCTCTGAGGACGAACGGTCCGAAGAGCCGAAGAGTCGGCGACGAGACTCTCAGTCGAGCCGGGCATATATGTGTGCTTACTGCAGCTACCGAGCAGGAAGTGCATGCTGTGCTGCGCATGTCCTTGTGCCTAGGTTGGCCCCACCACCCGATGGGCTACCACCACCAGATACTGGCGCCCTGTGCCAACACCTTCTGCTGTCACGGGTGCTACCTCCTCCGCGCAGGTACGCACTCGTGCAGGATGCGAAGGAGACTGCCCTGCCCCAACTTTGCTGGCGGCGGCTGGTCACCAGCCCGCTTACTGTGGAGGGCTATCAATTGCTTTACCTAGGCCCTGGCAGCTACCCGGCACGGATGCCAAACTGCATGCCCAGATCCTTGCAGGTCTGCGGCTCCCGCTTGATATGCGCTCAGGGCTGCGACGCGCGACCAGGTGTGCGTGCCCCTCCGAGGACTCCGAGCTCTATCCCGGCCAGTGCCCGGTTTTGTTTCTTCAGGCCAGGACCAAACCTGCACCTCTGTGCCCTCTCAGGTCTGTCTGCTTCATTGGCAGCAGGCCTGTGGCTACCAGATACGGCACCTGAATCCCATGGCTACCACCGACAGGGCTGGCCGGACAGCTATCAAGACGCCACAACCTGAGCGGTGTGCCAGAGGTTTGCACTCTGCCTGGTCACACAAGCATCAGGGATTGATCTGGGCGCCACAGGCATGCCAGGTCGCCACCGACCCTGCCGTGGATACGAGTCTGTCCAGGCACAGACCACGCTCCTAAGCGTAGAACAGACTGTGTCCCCTGATCGCTTGTCAGGAGTTGAGCTGAGTCCCAACCAAGGTGACCCCAGTTGGACCAAAGGCCAGAGTGCGAGTTGACCACTGCGGCTTCTCCACCCTTGACATGCCAGGACTGTCTTCGCTACTGGAGGGAGGCCTCATCCCGTCTGGTAAGGAAGCATCAAGAGGGATACTATGTCATGTGTGCAGGCGGATGATCCTGAGGGCCCTCTCTTTTACCTGGCCAATCCAAGGTGTGAAGGCTGCTGTCTACATTACAATCGTTTTCGTCCGGTCACCACCCGTCTCCTTACCGGGCATCAAGAGGGTCGTGGGAACAAGATGCCTAAACACAGGCAGACCCCCACTACCGGGGAAATCCTCGATCTCGAGGCCATGGACTGAGGCCCAGACCCTCTGCACGGAAGCTGTGACCTATGAGGCCACCGGGACCGGATCACGGATTGTAGATACACCTAAGCTGCGGATAGCCAAGCACTGTCACATCGACATAGTCACACCATCATACAGCCCACACGAGAGGGCAGAGTTGATCTCACATCATTATATCTCAGCACAGAGCCTCTCCGGTCCCAAAGCCGGGGGTCGACCTATAATATTCCTACCATGCAACCCGATTGGATGTCACAAGTTCGGCGAGCCACCTGTGACAAAAAGGTCGATTGGGGTGAGGGTTGGGAGTGACTGCCGCCCACTCTTGGAACCAAAGATCCCACCTGTTGGGTTCGGAGGGAAGCCGTGGCATCAGCATCACCGCTGTCTCATCCTCACAGGGACTGCCCTCGACGGCTCCCTGTTCTGTACTCCGAAGCTGCAGTATACACTTCGGACCTCTAACTCATTTTCAGCGAAGCGAGCAACTATTGGAAGCATCTGCCCCTGCCTGACCTCTGCCCAGACCAGACCTGGTCAGGGTTGTCCCCTCTTTGAGAACCGTGCTGCCTTGTACTATGTGCCTGCCTCCAAGCCCCGATACGTGCTCCGCTACCTTCGTAGGATCCCTGTTTGCCTACACGCTGTAATGGCTCCAGCACTATCGCACCTTACCCGTTCCATATCATCAGGCGGGGCTGCTGCGTGCCGTCGGCTGCCTGATGTCGACTGGGCCCCTGCCGGCGGTGACCTGCCTCCAGGTACTGCAGACAGCACCAAACCCATTGGTGCGACCGCTCGGCCGCGTACGTGTGGCCCCTGGAAACTAAGATGGCTAGCGACCGCAGCCCTTATTATGCCATCCAGGGATACTTTTCTATCTGGGCAAGGACCTCCTGCTCTGCCTGGAAGCTCTGTGCCCACCAGGCAGGCTCAGCATCCGACAGCTCCCTCTGCAGCATTTAGCTTCGCCAGGAAGCGCTCCTACGAGAGAGCTCTTCACAGAGCTGCCCAGCACGAGGATCAGCGCACGGTCTATAGGGGCCGCGTCTGCACGCTTAGACAGCTCTGTCGGGGATATCAAGGTACACGTGCCCCACCGGACCCGACTCGGCAGCTCCGACAGGCGGCCTTGCAGAGAAGCCATGATCGGATCCTTGCCATGACCTGGAATGCAGGGGGTCTATCCTCCCACCTGTGGCAGGAGCTGACGGTGGACAAGCTCCCCCCACCCGAACGCCCGCAGCTCATCTGTGTGCAAGAAACACACTGGGGTGCTACCGTAGCCCCTACCTTTGTCACTGCTCAGTGGACAGTGTATACTTCGCCCACCACGGACAACAAATCGGCTGGCCTTGCCGTCCTGATTCACAAGGGTCTCCCGAAACACGCGCAGGTAGTCTTTGCTGATCCCAAGCCGGGACGTATCCAGCATATTCGCATCATACACCAGCAGTGGACGGCTGATGTACTACATGTCTACCAGAAGCCGCACAACAGTCATCCATCAGCTGCCAAGGACTCCAAGACGCTCCGGGCTGAAATCTGGAATGCTCTGCATGAGCAGCTCCGTCGGGTGCCCAGACGCAGCACCCTTATGCTGCTAGGGGACTTCAATTGTCCTCTGACCAGCAGCCCACATGCAGGAGTTCGCATTGGTGCCGGATCCGG